ATATTTTGTTAATAAAAAGATATTTAATTTAAGTCGAACCACTCCTTTAACGTTGGGTGTTGATGTAGTTGGTAATGGTGTCAGTTTTTGAGTATTTCAAAGCACTTGAATATTATAAGGTTTTCAAGAAAACTCTAAGAAAATAACTGGCAAAATCTTTTTCTGAGTGATCGAAGAAACTCTCTTATGGCCTCGGGAGTGGTTGCAGATTCATCTTAACACATGTTCTAAGAACTTGATTTGATTCGATTCGATTACACGTATTTTATATTTTTTATATTTACTAAAAATTCTAAAATATAAGGAAGAACGTGATGGATTAGTTGAAACAAAAATTGTCTTCTTTGAAAGATTCCTATAATTTATATAATATACCAATTAATGTAACACATTCAATAGATTTATTGAATATTTTAAAATTTATTGAAATAAAAAGATACGTGATTGATTTTTGAACAAAACTATTTTTTCTGACAGCATTTTTCCTCGAATAGATTGAATCAATGGTTATAAATTACAGCAAAAATACAACTTTTTGGGTATTTATTTAATAGATTTGTATATTTATTGAAAACAAAAAAGCATGTGATGGATTAACTTAACCAAAATTGATCAATCAATATCAATAATCAACATTATGTCAACTCTGGCTTCGAGCGCGTGATTAAGTCTACAAAGTTTTTTCTACATCGATTTAAATTTTATTTTTCAGCATAGTTTTTTACCTAAAGAAAAAGTAAAAGCATAGTTTGCTAACCCGTCCGCAAGGCGGTTACTCGGTTAACCTTTCTATAAGTGTGTAAAATCCGGACTATCCAGTTCCTAGATAAAAAGCGTGGGGGAGGAGAAAAAGAAATATGACATTTAATAAATGTTCAACAGTTGAATTGACTTTTACTCGTCAACTGATAGGACGAAGTGACGGTTATTAAATGCGACCGACTTTAATTTGGATCTATAACAAAAACGTATGGCTGAAAATTAAAACTTTTAAACCACTAACTTAATTGCGTAGATATCTATTAATAAATTTAGCACAAAATAGTTAGAGTTATAATTCTATGAAAGTGTATGGAAATTTAACTAAATTTATAGATAACTATTAACTGACATGTTTATCCAAACATTGTTGTAGATCTTTATTTGTATCGTGAAAAGTTATCTCTTCCGGCGAATAAATTTACTATATAATTCTCTGATACGGCAGTGTCAATAGTAATGACGACGTTGTTTTCTTGCTCGGTTTGAATGAATTAGAACAGAGTTGAGAGACAAAGAGAGAGAGAAATGAACATAAGAAAAAAATAGACATCCAAAAATCAGAAATTAAAATGAAAACAAAACATGAGGTAAGTAGAGTTAGTTTGGGGATAAAAATGGGCAAAAATTACTGTTGTCTTAGGCATGTGACCATAATACCAAAAAAAATATTTTAATTACTTGGATCTATGGTCTCCTAGCTAATTAACTCTTGTAAGTTTTATCAATGCAGGATTTTAAGATTGAATTTGAAATTTCTTAAAAAAAATAAAAACAAATATTTTAAGATTCAGTTTTGTTATATTATTTTCGCAAATTTTGAGATATAAAACGAAATTTATTTCACAATTTCTAAAAATGATTTTAGATATTAACAAATATTTATATTTACTATGAAATAAACTCAAATAATAATAAATTTAAAATAATTATCATTATGGTATTCGTTTAGAGCAAGTTTCAGAGAAATTTTTTTTTTTTTTTTTTTTTGATCAAAGTTTCGGAAATATCTAAAAAATAGATTGTACGTATTAATTTCAAAAATTTTGTGTTTTATTTTTTTTATTTTTAACCGGATCTTCTTTAAATAAATCCATAATATATTGCATACAGTTTTCAAAATAATGTAAACTAATTATAAATTTTGCATTCAAAACAAATTATGCACGAGATCCTTTTTATAGATGTATCTCAAATTTTTATTTTTAGTCCAAAATTTGAATTAATTTATGATTAAGAATGAAAAGAAGAATATTCAAAATTTGGCTAATAAAAGAAACACTAATAAATTTGTTAAAATATATTTGTAACTTTAACATCATACATATTAATCCGCAAAACTCACAGTATATATTATATAGTACTTAAGGTAAAGAAACAAGAATTTGGAACATGATTTTAAGGGAATGAAATGAGAATAGGAATTGCGAGACGGTATGGAAGAGAAACATAAATTAAAAATCAAACTAAATACCCAACTGATATGAGTTTGGGTTATGACCACTATATAAAATAAATTTGCTTACACACATAATCATGTACGTACGTTTTCAGTTACAAATATTCTATTTATGATGGATACGGGACTGTAATATTTTTATTTCACGTATACGAGATGGGTTATAGGACGAAGAATTAATGATAGATACAGGACCGGATAGGTTTTCCATTCCTAAATAGTTACGCCTAACTAATATACATGAAATAACCCAAACTAAAACCAAATTCATATCATATTTAACACATGTAATCAAATTGTTAAAAATATTTTAATTAATTTAGAAAATAAAAATGTAACATCACTTAACTGTTGTAACTAAATTATATCTTAGTTTTATCTTAAATATAATTTTGTACGTACGTGTAGATCCGGATCTTAAAATATAACTATGCACTAACGCAACTGAATTTCGTTCATTACTCTAACTTTATATTATGTATAATTTTACGAATTTCTCTAACACAACAAAATATTTTATATTTTGAATATCTATATAACAATTTCTATAAAAATATCTCTACACATACGTGTGGATCCAAATCTAATACACTAAAATATATATATATCATAAAACAAAAAAATAATCTATATTGAATTAAAATTTGTTAGAAATTTTGTTAAAATATGAAACCTTGCACGTACGAGATCAGGATCTAGTAGTCAATAAATGATTATAAATTACAGTAATAATACAGCTCTTTGAGTATATTTATTTAATACATTTTTATATTTATTGAAAACAACAAAGTAGGTGATGGATTCTTATAAACAAAAATATTTCTTTTTTCGTCATTCGATAAAGTCAAATCAGTCAATATTAATAAGCAACACTATGAGTAGATTTATCTAATATTTTTATATTTAAGTGAAATCAAACAATGGTGTATTAGTGTAAACAAAACTGAATTTTCTCAAAAGAAATTTTAATTCAAAAGAGTAAAACAATAACTTGGTTTTTTTGTTAGTTTTGAATTTAACTAATTAGTTATTTTGAAAACAAAATGTGTTGATAAAAGTGACGATATATGTGTGGATAAAAGTGTGAAAACAGTGATATCGGTTTTTATCCTCATATTTCGTTAATAAAATGATATTTAATTTAAGTCGAACCAACTCCTTTAACGCTGGTGGTTGATATAGTTGGTAATGGTGTCAGTTTTTAAGTATTGCAATGGACTTGAATATTACTTCCTCTGTTTCATATTATATGATGTTTTAGTTTTTTTTTTTTTCATAATATATGATGTTTTGAAAAAATAATTCAAGTTTCTATGCAAAACGTTAAATTAAACAGCTTTTTAATAATTTATATTCTACTGTTAATTATATCATTGGTCAAATTAATTCTAATAGATATTCATTTATATTTTTAATGTGAAAAACTCAAAATTAATTACTTTTTTTAATTTTGTGCTTTTATTTAAAACTTTTAATATTGTGAAAGAGAGAGAGTATAAGTTTTTCTGGAAAACCCTAAGAAAATAACCGGCAAAATCTTTTTATGAGAGCCAGAAGAAACTCTCTTAGTGCCTCGTAAGTGTTGACACTTGACATGTGATACATGTTAAGAATTTGATTTGATTCGATTCGATTACGCGTATTTTATATTTTTTATATTTACTAAAAAGTCTAAAATAAAAGGAAGAACGTGATGGATTAGTTGAAACAAAAACTGTCTTCTTTGAAAGCATCTTTATTCAGTATAGTCTAGTCAGTGATTATATAATATACCAATTAATGTAACTCATTCAATAGATTTATTGAATATTTTAAAATTTACTGAAATAAAAAGATACGTGATTGATTATTTTGAACAAAACTATATTTTCTGACAGCATTTTTCCTCGATAGAGTGAATCAATGGTTATAAATTACAGCAAAAATACAACTTTTTGGGTAGATTTATTTAATAGATTTGTATATTTATTGAAAACAAAAAAGCATGAGATGGATTAACTTAACCAAAATTGATCAATCAATATCAATAATCAACATTATGTCAACTCTCACTTCAAGCGCGTGATTAAGTCTACAAATGTTTTTCTACATCGATTTAAATTTTATTTTTCAGCCGTATTTTTGCAAAGAACGATGCCCTAGTTGTGAAAATGTATAGTTTTTTTTTAGTATATAATTTAACATTAGATTTAAAAAAAAAAATCAACATTATGATTAGATGATCTAATATTTTATATTTTTTTTTTAACGTGAGACAAACGTAATATAGCTCTTATACATATATTGTAAATGTATTCACGATCACATACATTTGATTTTTAAAAATCTAAAGGTAGAATTGAACTCTTCGTCTCGAAGGCTTCGATTTGATATATTACTTATCAAATTTTTTAAAACTTGACAATAGCAAAAAAAAAGGTATATTGCATATTATTTTTGAATTCATATGATTATTCTGCATTTTTCGGAGGTAGGGGTAAAGTTGTAAAAATGGACGATTTTGAGGTTTTTTTTTGCACAAAACCCTTTATTATACTCATAGTGGGCCGATATTTTTATGGTGTTACGTTTGTCTCACGTTAATATAGTACAAAAAAATGAAGAGAGACAAGGTGAACTTAAGATAAGCACTAGTTAGCGTGTAAGAAAAGAGTGACTAAATTTTGGTTCATGAATTTATTTTGTTTTAATATCATTTTTTTTATAAGAATTTGTTTTAATATCATGCAAATATTTAAGCTTGCTATGATAAGAATTTGTTTTAAACTGCAACTACAAGAAATTAAGTACAAAACTACACGAAAGTTTTGATATCCATAAAAAGAAATATTAAAACCACACAGTCACACTTATGAGATCACATTTTAAATTGGCTTTGTTGACCAACTTTTTTAGGCGAATTTTTCTCTCTTTTTTTTTTTCTTAAACAAAGAGGAAGGAACAAATGTTCTTACAAACAAAAGAACGTGAACTACTTTGCCCATAAACAAGGAACAAGGCACTTAAAAGAGAAATTTTAAGGAAGTGACTTATTCTTAATATCGTGGTTTTTGTTTCTTCACTTACTATCTCCTTATAGGTTTGTTACTTCCTTGTCAAGGAAACGAAGAACTGAACAGTTGGTTTGTTGCGCAAAGTATCGTAACGCTGGGAAAGATGGTATGTATACCTCTCAAACAGACGATCCATAATGGCGTCTCCAAAATGAGCAGCAAGCATTGGTTCAGTAATGGATCTTATGATGCTTGTCCTCTTTCTAATGACTTCAAATTGGCATGATTGGTCCAAATTATTATCATCATCTTTCACTTCGGTACGACCAGTTTTGTATGAAAAGAGAAGACCAAAGATTGTCTCGAAATTATTGATTTCGAAAGAGCCCTCGCTTTCGATAACTTCCCTCACCTCACTTTCGTCAGGATTGTAGAATGGCAAGTTAAAAGAAGCTACATCTGATTCCTTCACAATACCCTGCACTCAAAACACATTTCAAAAATCATATAACAACACTTTTTTAATCATGCAGTATACACACAAATTTATGATTTCAAAATATACGGTTCTAAAAATCCCCGCCTAGTCCGATTACTCCCCACTTAATCGCTAGGGTCACCCTCTACGCCTCGATTAATGACTAATCCCTTAAAAAAATCAGTCACCCGATTACTCTCCGCCTAATCCGAATAATTCCAGCATAATCCGATTATTTTCCGCCTATTCTTACATATCCTAATTATTTTGTGATTGCAAGTATATAACAACTCTTTTTTTTGTTATTTAAACATTTGAATTGGAAGTTTGTGATGTTTTACAATAATTTATGCTCAAAATTTTAATAAAAGTCATAATTTTTAATGAAAAATCATAAAAATTTGCCTTAAATATATATTTATGTGTTTACTACAATTTTGAAAATAATATTATATTAATATATTTTTAAAATATTAAAATAACTCTAAAACTAATCCCCGATTAATTTAGTTCGATTAATCGCTAGGCCCATACCGAACGCCCGACTAGCACCTAGCGATTTTTCAAACAAACTTCAAAGTATATACATTTCAACTATATTCCCTCCCTGTATTTCAATATATATATAAACTAAAAATTTGAATATGTGAATTTATGTCCATACTTTATTGCTTGCTCGTTAAAGAATAGAAAACAAAGAAGAGTTATCACAATGAATACCTCAGAAACCAAGTCGAGGAGGGAATCAGATATCGACGACCAATTTTGGAAACAATCTTGAGATAAAGGATCCAAAGCTTTTCTGCCCACAAAAGTAAGAGCCATACGTCCATTTGACACAGTCTCATCCGCACGCATTCTTAGAAATAACGAAAAGTCATGCTTGAACTGACTCAAATAACTCTTGTACACATTTGGAAGGCATGGACTTCTAAGGTACACGTTCTTCTTGTTATCTTCAAGACCCTTAGGAACTTTGGAAAGCCAATGGAGACAAAGAGATGAATGAACAAAATGGAGAGATTTGCTTGGGAATAGTCTTGAGTAGAATGAGCCTGGGACTCCTGAGATGAAGCATTTTCCTTTAACATCCATCTTCAGCAACTTGTGGAAGGCAGGGACCAACTTGAAAGTAGTGTTGAAATCGTTGTCTGGGAGATCGTTCAGACAACAATTGATCTCTGGTAAGTTTTTGCCTTTTTGTTGGTATGATGTTATGATCGTGTCGACGATTTCGGACATGACCAATAACGTGTTTTCCCCGGAAGAACATCCTAAGTCAGCCACTTTTACACAACCAGGAAAATTCATTTTCACTATCATTTCTTTCACGGTTTCTACCACCACCGGTTTTGCATCAGAAGCAAGACGTTTCTAAGAAGCCAAAATGCCAAAAAAGAGAGACAAAAACGCACATATTAATCAGAAAGTTGTTATTCTTTTTTTTTTGGGCAAATAAGTTGTTATTCAATCTAATAATATTCAAAATAAGTCGTACAAATTGTCGAGGCAAAACGTACCTGCCCCTCGGAGTTATTGGCATAACTGTGTTCTCCATCTCCCCCTTTCATGCTAAGAACCCCCATGTTAAAGTCCCTATAATACATAACAATTTGATTTGAGTAGATTAAACACAAAAGGGATGCAAGAAAAAACAGGACCTTGTGGGAGACAATGATAGATGGACAAACCTTTGAATTGTATCTTTGCACGATGAATTGTGATATTTGATCTATGATTGTCTAGAACCATATATATAGACCGCATAATTCATCTTGCAAGAAATTGCATGTGTGTGAGAGAGAGTGTGAGTGTGGGCTTTTCCATGAATAAATTTTATTTTATTTTTGTTTTTTTTTTCTCACCTTCCCAAATTTATTAATGTTATAACTCAGAAAACGAATATTAATTGTACGTGAGAGTATTTGCAATACGTGGCAAGAAAGATTGCGAAAATTAAGAACTATATATTAATGGATTTTCTTGTCCAAAAATCCAAAATGAAAGAACAAGTATTGAATATTTTTATCCTTGTAATTAAATATTGCAACATGCATGATTCATTTATGTAATTTATGGGTGTGATTGGTAACAAAAAACTGTACAAACTTTTTAGCTGTTAGCTACAGCTGTAAGATTTACCGGAATAGTGCAAAGCTGTATGAAAGAGCTGTACAAGAAAGCTGTATAAAAAAAGCTGAGAATAAAACTGTTTGTAACGCTTTTGATAAAAATTTTGTGATCGGTAACTTTCAAAGATGTATGTTTAGTACAGCTTTGTAAAGCTGTTACCAATCAAACCCTATTATTTTATCTTTAGGCATCTTTTTTTTTTTTTTGGTCAAATCTTTAGGCATCTAGATAATTTATTAATTTGTAATTTATTAGTTTAGAACTCTAGATAACAAAAAACATTTAATCGATATATTGTTGTAGCAATCTACAAATTCTTTTATCTCCAACAATCCTAATATGTTCACTTTCTGGGAGAACGGTTTTTTTCAATCTCAACTATTTGCTGGTGGATTTTTCCAACCCAAACTATAATTTCTAGTCGATTTTAGTCGATTTCAATCCAAACCCAAAAATAATTAAAAAGCGAAACCTGAACTAATGCAAATAAGCCGATTTCAACACGACGTGAAACGGTGTTAGTTCGAAAGCTAACAATTTTCAAGGTTATTTGATTTTATTTTCAGGGTTTGCTGATCAATGATGTAGGGAGAATTACCCAAGGTTGAGTAATTTTTAAATTTCGAACTAACACCGTTTCGCGTCGTGTTGAAATCGGCTCATTTGCATTAGTTCAGGTTTCGATTTTGAATTATTTTTAGATTTGGGTTGAAATCGATTAGAGGTCATAGTTTGGGTTGGAAAACTCTGCGAGCAAATAGTTGAGGTTGAAAAATGCCATTTTCCAGTTCACTCCCTATCCAAATTAAATCACCATGCTAATTTATACTTCATAAAAATCATCTTTGTCTAAGACATATACAAATTAATAGAATCGGGTAAAATCATACATTGGCCCTCACAATGTTAATAATTTGTTTTCTGTTGATTTTGTAGATGATACCTTTGGAAAAATTTTGTCAACTACATAGACAAACTAACAAAATTCTGACGGGATTCATACATTACACTATTGGTGACAATGCTCAGTGACTGTGGAATGGTGCAATGATTATGGTGAGGAACTTCACGGCAAGTAGCTATACATCGCTCTCCTCTTCTATGATCGCCTCTCCATATCCACCTTAGTAAGGTTAGGTAAATGGACTATGAGGATTTTGTTTCTTTATATATAGGGCTTTTGCAAAAATGCCACTTTTTCAATGCTACTTTTCAAAAATACCCATCTTTAAAACCTTATAAAAAATGCTCTTAAAAATATAAGATTTACCCAAATATGTATGTAATATTATTAAAACATACACAAACTATATTTGTATGTATCTAAAATCTTATAAATACTTTATAAATACCTTATAAATGCATTTTAAATACTTTTAAAATATCTTGTAAAACCTTTGAAAAACATTAAAAATCCTTTAAAATAACTTGTAAAACCTTTAAAAACACCTTATAAAACTTTATAAATACTTGGATCGAGTCTTCAAGTAGTAGTCACAATCCATAAGTACCTTATAAACCTAATAAAACTTTATAAAAATTTCAGATTTAAAAAGGGGCATTTTTTAAAATGGACATCTGAAAAGGGTATTTTTGAAAAAGAGCACACCAAAAGAGGTATTTTTAACAATTTCCCTTATATATATGGGCATTAAGAAGAGAGCATCTTAGCTAGGAGCCGCCGCTGCCATTGACATTGAATTGTTACCAACGGTACATTAAAAAAAATGATAATTAAATTTAAACCATTTTTAAAAATTAAATTTGAAAAGGTTTTTATTATATGATTTTTCCCGATTTTTATTAGTTTGTGTATTAAACTAAAAAATTCTTACATATTATCAAAAGTGAGCGGTTTATTAATATTATGACTACTGATTATTCTATAAAATTGTGGGGATGTGCTTTTAGTCAAGTGGTTAAGTCCATTTGACTCCTCCTTCCCCACCGGAGTTCGATTCCACTAATTCGCGTTACCCCGCGTAGTAGGGATTGATTATGGATCGGATCTTGTCGATCCAAAGATGTAAAAAAAAAAAAAAAATTGTGATCATTTAATGTCTTTGTTTTTTAAATCATTTAGTATCTTACTTATTGTTGTATAAATCAATAAAAATATTAAATAAAAACTCTTTTGTTCAAATTGGTCAATTGAGTTGGTGGGAATAAAAAAATCTTAATGAATTATAAATTTGTAAGTGTGCAGCGAGTTGTATATTTTTTATTGAGTAGATTACAAGAAATGATAACATAAAATCAAGAAAATGGTAGATGTGACGTATTGCCACTAATGACATTTTTTATAGGAAATTTGGTAAATTCTATCATTTTCAACTAAAGCATTTCTATTTCTACCATATTTAATAAAAATTTTTCCATTTTTACCACATTCATGTTGTTTTGTGGTATAAAAAGACGGTTTTACCCTCAGTTGATGTAGCAGATTTGTGTCAATTGAAATGCAACATCTAGGGACAAGTATCTGGGGATCAAAACTGAAGGGACGAATTAAAAATCGGTGAATGACTCTAATAAAGCTATATGGAGAACAATAATCAAAGAAATATAAACATCAAACAAAACGAAAAGATCGAAATTAGAATTTGGGAGAACTAAAATCGAAGGACAATAAATTTAAATCGAGGGACAAAACCAGTTAACATGCAAAACTAAGATGAAATTGTGGATTCGATTATTTACCAGTTGTTCCCAAATTTTACATACAGTTATCCCTGAAATTTGAACAAACAATAGAAAGGGCAATTTAGTCTTAACACATACCTATGTGGTATAAGTGAAAAATGGAAAGAAAAAATGGTAGACACGAAAATAATTTGGAAATGATGGTACTAGTGTTAGTTTTCTCTTTTTATATAGATTTTGCATTTAACTATTACGAGAGTGATAATTTGTTTTCGTTGCAAATTGTCTCGTTATGTAGATTTCCAAGTATATAGAATCTGTTTATTATTCATTCATAAGAGTCTAGTTTATTATATGGAGCTTTAAATTATCACATCAATTGAGGGGAAAAAAAAATTCTCATATTAACTTCTAATTTATCATATACACTCAGTATATAATATTGTGTAAACATCTAATTTTTATCACCTGGACCTCTAAATTATCAAAACATATACGCTATCATTTATCTTAGAGTGCGCTAAAAAAAACTAAATCTTAAATCCAAACATCGACGATTCATAAACTAATCCATTAAGCAATAACATCGTCTATGTCTTCACTCTTCAGGGCATACCTTCCTATTGGCTCGTTGAAAAGCTCCGATTCCACTTCGAGGTGAAACTAGACTCTCCTAGCTTTCCACAGCCACCGAGATCTCTTGATTTGGTAATCGCGATGATCTCGAACGGACGCCATACTTCTGAGGCACATAAACTGTCTTGAAACGGGATTTGATCGTCTTTTACTCCTTTTTGCCTGGAAACACATTATTCATTCTTGAAGCATAAATACTTGAAATCATCCTTGAAATCTCCAATATCTCCTGTTTTCTCCATGGAAAACCTAAATAAAACATAGTAAAAGTGGGCTAAAATACGATGTTATCAGTAGGAAGAGGGGAGACAATGTCTCCCCCAATTATTCATACTAAAAGAAATTGCAATCGTACATTTTGTGGTCTCTTAGACCCACTAACATCCTCTATCATAATAGAATTCACACAATCCGGCGGCGAGTCGAACATATGAAAACCTAATGGTAGAGAAAACACATAATTTGCTAATCCATCCGTAAGACAATTACCCTTCCTATACACATGATTGATACGGATTATCCAGTCCTTTGATAAGAAGCTATAGCTCAGCCGTGCTAGGAAGGAAAAGGGGTGAGGGGTGAGAATCACTTATGCATATTTTCAGGAACCTGACCATAATTTGAGAATTGACTTTCAGCTCTATTCGCGTAACTCGACGTTTCCACGCGATAAACAAACCGTAATAAACTCCCCATAATTTGGCCTTGCTCTTTATTAACTAAATTAAATTAACATTCATTTAAAAGTTAATAAAAAATCACGCTATATTTTTGATATTATGTATTTGACTTTTAGTTTTTTTTTACTGGACTATATATGTATATGATTTTAGGTATTAAAAAGTAAAAACTACGTAGGTTCTCACTTGTGATTCTCACTTTTCACACATTAAACATGTAAAATAAAAAAAAAAGGTTCTTTTTTGCCAAAAACAAAAAAAAAGGTTTTTCTACTTTTTTCTGGGCCCACAGTTTTTATCTTGGGTAATTTAGGTGAATAACCAAAAAAAAAAAAATTAGTTTTTTAGAAAGAAGGTAGAGAGAGATAGGAAGAGAAAGAGAATGAATAGGGGGGTTAGAAGTTAGTTTTTTAATTATAGTATTTTTGTTGGTTAGTTTTGCCAATTTCCCTTTTATCTTTGTTTCAATTTTTTTTTGTTTTGGAAGAAAACTTCCTCTTGTTTAATTTTGGATGGAAAAATAGAGATTCTTCCACTTTTTCTTATTTAACTAGAGCCACACTTCAAAAGTAAACACACATACAATATGTTGTTGTCCAAAAAAAAAAAAACACATATACCACATATATATATATATATATATATATATATATATATATATATATATATGTATTATTTGATTGATGAAGATATGGGTAACGTGAAACACGTTATCATGTGGATGATTAAACCACTACGTGATTAATGTTTTCACGTTAACATTA